GGGGGGGGGGGGGGATAACATGTCGTTGCAATGGATGCTGGACTTCATAAAAACATTCCAAACAAAATTCTGTGATGGGAGTGGCTTTTTTGCTTTCCTTTCTTTACCTGTGCAATCCATGCATCTTCTATGACTAGCGAGAGTATATATTTATCATTCTTTCACATCCATTTTCAATTCATAGTAATTAGGTGCAAGTCTGACATTGGATATCAAATTGTCATTTTGTAATGAATTTTGTAGGAAACCCCCGTACATCCTCCTCTGTTAAACCATGGAAACCTTTATAGTGGAGTTCTGTTCCAGGTTTTGTCTCTCCACGTTATCCTTTTTCTCTTTTTCTCCTTTTCCTAGCCTTTCATCTTTTTGGTTAATCGCAGATATTTGCAGCTATTGCATTTTCGTGTTTTATGCATGTATATAATACACACGTGTATCTTTCATCTACTGTCCTGGCAGGGAGAAATAGTTCAGTGGAGTTAAATGTTAGATAAACAGTAACTCTAGATCAGTACTTTATTTGTATCAATTTAAAATAAATATGGTAAGCACATGCCAGACGGTGTTAGATGCTGAAACGGTAGAATCTACAGTGTGGGCGCTGTACTGAGCGTTGTCCGTCCGTCCGTCCTTCCTTCCCCAGTAGCCATTAACTCTCTTCCCAGCAAGATGCCAGAGCTAACCTGCTGCTTATCAAGAATACATAGATATGAGAGATCGCCTTCTCTTTGCTAATAGAGGAGGATACGGTATCATGTTACACATGGAAGGTAAACATTCCTCAGAGAAACTGGAGGATTCAGAGATACTATTGAAACTGTTCATTATCGTTCTAACCGTGAAGTTACGTCCATTTATTTAAAGTGTGCACACTAATTGCAAAAAGATGCATTTAGATTTTCTACTATTGTTACTTCTGTACATACAAATGTTTCTGTTTTTAAGCCTACTGCTTTGGAATCTCACAAGACTAAGTACAGATGCTCTACCCTCCTACAGTAATTGGGATATTGAATTTTTGACGGTACAGAGCTTCAACATCTAGAATTTCAAAGCGCTAGTATTTAACGTTGCACGTCCTCCAGACTGGCATAGCCTGAGAGTAAGACTGAACAAGCTAGGTTTTTCTCTTTTCAAAGGGAGGCAGGAATAATTCAGTAAGAAAACAAATTTGGGAGACACCGGAAAGGTCTGGTGTTCCAAACCTTGAATGTCATCAAACAGCAAAACCCTAGCATAGAGGAGATGCTGAGGGGTGCATGCCATGTTTGTTTTTCCATGGCTGGACAGCGTCTTGTGTGCCTGTAATCTCTAATGAACTCTTGTGTGTGCAGTTGTGTATATGTGCACACTGAAACTGAGCTGTGGTCTCCCCCACAAGTAGCCTGTGATTATTTTCTCTCTAAAATGAAAATGAAAGGTTAAGATTTGCCTCTCTGCTCTGCTTCTTAAACAGTTTTCCAGATAGCAGTCCATCAGAACAAACTGTCTTGCCTATTAGAGTTTTACAGTAAGCATTCATTTTGGTATGCGTAGTCTCGCTCGTACCGTATGCCTTCAGAGAAATCTCGCCTTTCCTGCTAGGTTGTATGTCTAAATGCTGTAGTAACTGAAAGGCTTTGTTGAGGCTAAGGAACTCTGCTGTGAAGATGGGTGAAACTTACATTCACAGTTACTTAAAGGTGACTTGAATGTGATGTTCTAGAAATGCAAGTGAACCAAAAACCCATTCTAGAAGTTAACGTTTATTTATAAACATACTTTGGCCAGAGAAGTGGCTATGTAGTACTGTAAATATTAGTTTCTCCAGTTTAACAATAGTGTGCTACGCTGCCTTTGCTCTGTTTTATAATAGACTTAATCAGTTATTTTCTAGTAAATTCTCTTTTTCTCTCTCTTTTTGGGGGATTAAGGCCACTAGATGTGACTGCCAGAAAGACAATGAAAAACTTGCAGGGGCAACATGCTTGCATGCTGACAAATTTACGCAAACCTCCTGGAGGAGAAGTTCTGTGAGTAAAACTTGCCCTTCCTCCTTGGGTATGACTTCCTGCATTTCCTTCCCCAGTTGCAATGTTACTGCCGTCACGCCAGATGGCCTTGTTTAAGAGGTTTAGTTCTGTATCTGAGGGTACTGTATTCTTATATCCTTTCTGCTCTGGACCTCCTGTACATTTATTTGTAGCTCTCTTATTTAAACGTTTGTCATAAACATATATTTTAAAATACCTAATTAAGCTTTAGAAGGCTATCCTCTTAAATAGTGCGCAGGGTGATTAATGTAAGTAAGTCAGCCCAAGCTGTATCTCTAATCATATATCCAGACATTTCCTATCATGAATTTAGTCATTGATGCTTGACCTTTTATCTGGTTTTTTTTCCTGCTTAAGTTTCATTGTTGCTGTGCTCATAGTTGTTGTGGAGAAGTGACAGTGTGTTTCATCATAAAATTTCTGTCCAAAAACACTATAATCTTTTTTTTTGGTCATATATTTGAAGAACTCAACTTGTTCACAAATTTATTGGGTGAAAATCACTGTGACAGACATCTTCATTCCCATATGTTGTTGCATGGATCACATTTCTTCCATTTTACAACTGTTATATTCTTCATGGATCAGTAATAGCATACTTGAGATGGGGGAGGGACAACACATTTGCTGTGATATAATAATAAGTGATTATCTTGGAGTAGTGAAAAAGGCTTTTGTCAGTCACCAGCTGCAGATGATAGTCTGGCAGCTACTGCTCTAGCTAACAAACCCTGAGAGATTTTTTTCCAACAACTGAAAATGAATTAGATTTGTTCTTACCTGGCCTTAAGTCACTTGACTGGAGGGGGGCAGCAAATGATGTAAGATGGTAATAGAGATGAGCCCGCTCTACTGTCCCTCTAAAAATTACTTCTTTGAATATTTAGTGCTAGGGTAGGAATACCACCTTGGGGTTTGTTCAGCAGTTTCTAGCAGAGAGCTTTCTTCTGCTGAGGCCACGCTTTCTGGCCGCCTGTTGTCTGTTAACTGCCCAAAGTCAAGAGAATGTAACCTTGAGTACCTTCCATTTTCCTCTGCCTCTTCTGTTCCCCCAGGTACACTTGGTGTACTTGCTTATTTGTTTATATCTCTTTCCTGTTTCTTTGGTGCTTTTTGAGCTCTTGTATTGTTTTCTTTTACCAAGTTTTAATTTCATATATGTGGTATTCATTTGACACCCCCTTCCCTCCCCCTACAATGCTGTTTCCAGGTTAGCGGCTGTCCTTGCTTCCATGGTGCTTTTTGTTTTAGTCTCTTATTTTTTCAGTAAATTCAAAAAAAAATTAGTAAATATTGAAAATTAGTTAACCAACTACGAAAGCTTCAGTTTGAGCAACTTGCAAGACGGAGATACGGGAGATGGCGAATGGGAGAGGCTAAGTTAATGCTATATCAGGTAGAGGGAGTCATTCAGTCCAAATATCCATTTGGTCAGGTTGAAGTACATTTATTCCTACTTAGAGTTGCAACAATTGAGTTTTCTCTTCCAACTGCTTTTTACTTTAGGCACAGATGTGAATAGACATTCAGTAGTCTTGTCTCAGAGACACTTCCTTTGTCTTACGGAATTTAAAACAGTTTGAGGGAGAGTATCTTAAACAACAAATCTTGGCCCCTGCTGTGTTCATAGTTGTGTGTATATACATGTATGTTTATGTGTGTGGGTACGTAAACGTGCATACATATAAAAATATATATATATATACACACCCACTTACAGGTGCACTCTATAAACATCTCTACATTTTTATCTCCCTTTGCATGTAAAGTTTCTCAAGAAAGTTATGGATTTGTGAAGATTCCCCAAGTATTGGCAAATGCTCAAAATACACTTTATTTTAGGGACTTTCACTTGTAAATGATAGCTCAAAAGTTTTGGGCAGAAACTTTTTTGAATGGATTCTCATTTACCTATTTAGAAGTTATATGTAGGCTTTCCATAAGCAAGCAGAAATTGATAGGAGCTGCTTAAAATGAGATTTTTTGGAAGGAAGATACTAGTCTTGCTGTTGCAGTGAAGCTCTGGTTCTGAGGATCAGACTTCTAAACTTTCTATTCAATTTCACTTGAATACAATGATATATTAGTTAGTAGCTAATTAAGCGTGATTTTTGTAATGATGCTGTTGGATGAACTCCAAAGCCTCTTCCAGAAATTTCTGCATTTCAGGAATATGAAGTGTTTTCTATGAATGGGCTTGTTTGCTTTGTAAAACAGAAGGGGGGGGGGGAAAAACCAATGGGTTGAGTGTTTTCAGGAGCAGGGTACAGGAAGAAGTGCAAAGAAATATAGGTGCTTACAGGGACTAAGATGTTCAGGAGTAGAAGGTATAGTGGAAAGGAAAAATCTGTTAAAAGGTATAGATAGATATTTTAAACTGTTACATTTACCTTAATGCCTTCAAGTTTGGAAAGGAATTTAGTAGTAAAGGTCTGGGCAAATGGAATACATTTTAACAGCAGTGACTTCTAAATGATCTAAACTAGCCCGGGAAGTTCAGCAGTAAAAATCATACTTCTGTGGGTTTTTTCTTGTTTCGGGGAGAAACTAAGAGGAGATAGACAACATTAGAAATAATTTAGCTGAGGACTGCACTTGAGCTTTTTTTCTCCTCTTTGAAACTCTGTTGAACTGATCTTCTCAGTTAAGGTAAGCTAAATCTAAACAAATGCTCTCTGTTCGTTTTCTGCTTCTCTCATATAGTAACCAAAGTCATTTAAAAGAAAAAAACACTTTGCTTAAGTTCTGGGTTTTGTATTGGAATGGTTTGCAATAAAACTCAGAATAGTGTTTTTTTACAATGGAGAGCGATGTGGGATTTCTTTTGGAAACAGTGATTTAAAAAGTTCGTCTGTTAATATGAATTGCTGTACTCACTTGCATGGTTTAATATAACTACAAACGTAGAAGAACTTTGGCATGAAATAGCTTTTGATCTGGAACAAAATGACATAACTATATCTTGCAATAGAAAAGAGAAACAATAGACTGTTTTATGAGGTAGAAATACAATAATGGGAAATAGCAGGAGAAAGACTTGGGCAGACTGCGTTCTCACTTGAAACAATGTCCTCTTCTAAAACATTTTGCTTTATTAACTTTCATGCTCAGTTTAAAACTGAGGGTTTTAACTCAGGCTGGGAGAAATCAGATTCATTGCTCCTAAACTTGATATGAGTTGTAAAATGTAGTTCATGTTTATGAAATTATGAAGTTCTTACAGAGACTTTATTTCGTAAAAACCAAATTCTAATTGAAATCTTGGCAACGAAACTAGAACTCCTTTGAAGCATGCAAGCTTTTTGCTTTTTAAAAACTTGGTAATAGTTATCAAAGTTGAGGAATACTTAACTATTTCATTTGTTCTTAAAGTGATTGATGGGTTAACACTTACAGTCATGGTGAAGATCAGAAAATCACTTCAGTTAACATACCGTAACCTTCAAGATTATTCTAACAGTTTACAAATTCAAACAGAACTGATACTGTCTGTTAATTTCTAAAGGATAATTACCAGTTAAGGAACATACCCACAGTAATTTACTATTTCAAGAAATACTTGAAATAGTTCAAGAAACTTCATTAGCAAACATTGTTAATGTAATGTTTTTAAAATAGATTCTAGAATAAGCTATGCAATGGTGGGTGTGGAAACCCATTTTTGAAAATCACCGTTTAGGAATTTAAGACCATGTGAAATGCAGTGATTTATTGCAATTTTACTATCTACTTAAAGAAGCTAATATTTCTGATTACTTTGTGCTTCTCTCAGTATGTGGACCTGTGATATCATTGAACATTTTCTTTTTTAAAAAGTTATCTTCTTACCTGTTTCTGTCTTTATTACCAGATACATTTCTAGAAAATGGTCCATCCTGATGTGAATCAGAAACTTGTCTGGGTTTATTCTCAATAGGGACCACATCGTTTCTGAAAGTACTTTTAGTTTTTCCTTTTTCAAGGTAAATAGGAAAATAAATGGAAACTATGTATCTCTAGGTTAATTCTTTTAACTTAGTATGCGTGTTTAAGGCTTAGTGGCTGAAAGCAAGTGTTTTGAAAATCGGGGGTATTAAGGTTTAATAAGTAGCAAGCGTGCTGCCTGTAGCCTAGCTGCTCTCATATCTGTTACACAGTATTTTTTTTTTTTTATATGTAGTGCTCTGACAGTATGATCCAAGCTGCATTATGTAACTGCTGGCTGGCTGTATAAACAACGGTGACTTAGAGAGAACCATTCTTTTTGGTTAGCCATCCTTATAATAAAGGCTTGTCCAAGTATTTGCTAACAGGATAGAGCATGACATTTCTAGAAGGAGTCCTCATATGTCTATTGTATTGAATTCATTTGCATTTAATTTATACCTGTCATTTAACTATCATGGAAAATCAAAACAAATAAAGCCCTGAAGAAAGCATTGACTCTGAAATTGCATTAAGGATTTTATGTCAATGGACAAAGCTTAAAAGGAAGAAAACCATTGTCAGAATTGTCCTGCAGGCTTTGCAGCATTGTTTCTGTAATACTAAATACCTTGAAGGTAAAGAGGGTAGATATCAAGTCTTAAGTTTGTGCTGGCAAATTATTTGACTTCTTGAACCTAAAAGTTGTTATCTATAAAGGATTTTGGCCCCGATGTCCAGTTCCTTAGCGTAATGGAGCTCCTCCTAGTTCCTGAGTGCTCTGTTGTGTCCTGGAACAGTAGACAGAGTTAAGAGCTAAGTTCCTCCTTGGTCTTAAAACAGTATGTGGTGGTGAGAAGAAGTTTTAATTTTGAAATGTACTCAAGGTCATTGTCTCTGGTAAAACAATAAAAAACCCAGTTTGGATGAGAGCACACGTATTCTTTGCTGCAGCTCTGCTCTGCTTCCTCACTGAGGTATTCTTTGCCCTCTAAGTATTTGAGTATTGTCTCAATTTGTCTTTCAAAAGCCTTTCACATTTAATTTTTCAGTGAACCTTCATAATACTTTGGCTG